AATCCATCGAGGGCTCGTCACTCGCCTAAAGTAGTTTCACCAAGTTCCCGGAGTTATATATTATGTCTTACAAGCCGACTACGACAAGTGCGTGCAATGAACGGCTTCCTGTGGGCAGCTTTATTATTTTAGCAACGCAGTACATCAACATCAACACATGCTGCAACTTCAAGAACCTTCGCACTCCAGCTAACTCTCTTGTCCCCCCCCCCTCCCCCATCACAATGGAATGATTATATGAACAACCTTTAACCCTTTTTCCACGGGCACATTAATTGTATTCGTATCTACAGGCCCGGTAATAATTAAGAGTTATTATTCGTAGATGAAGGGTTATGGCGTATTTGCGTATATAATTTGTACCCACAAGACGCTAAGATGCAATATACATAACACCACCTCATCTTGAGTCATAAACATAAATCGGAAATGTATTAAGTTAATTCAGTAAGCTATGGAGTTTGACTTCTAAATGATATAATTTGTGATAATTATAATATGCATATAATTTATTCTTCGAATTTGATGAGAGGAGAACGGCTATTTATACAGGACAGAAAAGAGCGCAACCGTCACCTTAAAGAGTCAGCATGCTCCTCTCCTCGAGAAATGCAATCTTCTCATTTAAGATGGATGATTGGGCGCCGCGAGGCACCAGCGATTACAAGACGGATGCATAAATAATCTTGCTTGGATTGGAGAACGTGAGAAGCAGATTCTCTGTAGACACAAAGCTTGTTGAGCTCTCGGCTCGTAATGGCCATGAATTCTTTTTTCTGTACTTTGATTTAAACTGACGAAAACTTGAACAATGAAATGAAGTAGATTATAAGTCGAGGATTTTACTTTATTTGGTTTAATTTGCGATGTTACGTATTATTGGGATTCATGAGGAGAGTTTCCGGAGACTTTAAAAAACACAACCATTTTTGAACAGCGTTTATTTTGCTTTTGATTTCGTCTAAGGTAGTTTATTCTTGTGTGAGTTTCCGAAAATTGTTAAACCTATATAGTCTCAGTGAAGGTCAGGGAATGCATTATTTATCGTTTAAAGCATTAGATGTCGTCAGCTAACAGGTAATAAATGCTGTTTTTACTTTAATGTAATTGTTTCTAATAATTAAAAAATTAATGCGTTTATATAATAATTAATTAAGCTGGTCCTAAAATTGCGACACCATGCAGTGAACATTTTCCCACATTCATGTGGCATTTGTGGGTTGGAAATGAGTAATTTCAACATGCACCCAAATGTTAGTCCCTAACGAGGATGCTAAGCACGGCAGAACAAATGATGGATGTGTATGGCTGCGGATGAATACTTCCCCCTTACGAAGTCTTACATTATTCCTGATTGCGGGCCACCATTTCAGCGTCGAGGTCTTGTTAATTCGCTAGATTGAGTACGATCTTATCAGTAGCTCAGCGATAACGAGCCGTGCCTCGCAGTCAAGCTTCCTTGGGATGGTGATTAGCGCGCCAAATCACCTTATTTGTAGACTCCTAGCTTGCTTAGGGACGTACATATAAAAACATATTTTTTTCCATATACATACATACATACTTATTTTTTAAACTAATAAAAAAATTGTAAACAATACGAATTCTCTCGGCTTCAATGAAACCTTCTTAAATGAACATATAAAAACGGACACAAAGGGACACTATGAAAATGGGGCATTAGAAAACTGAGACAATTAAGACAATGAATAGTACTTAAATTTAATTTACTTTGGGACAATCTTGAATATTAATCCGTCTTAAAACAGAGAATGTATAGACAGTCAGCCGTCCCAAAACTGTCAATCACCCGTCTCACAAGAGACAGTTTAGTGAGGTCCTTTGCACATCGGTCGTTCCAAGGGGGGCGGCGCCCCGAGCTTCGCCGCCGCGCTGCCCCCGCCGCGTCCAGCGAGCACATGTGGGAAGCGTGCGGCCGGATTTTTATTTTAGAACTTTTTGGTCCGCTTTTTATTTTGGGAGTTTACAAGGTGGTTTTTATTTGCGTGGCAGCTCGAGAATAGCAGCGCAGTTTCCCACGCTACTGCCGCACGCTGATCAAGTGATGTAAATGGTTGATTTATGATTAATGAAATAGATTGATTAATGAAAGTGGTTGTGCCGCATGGTGAGTTAAATATCAGACAAAAACAAAATATACTTGTGAAAACTTCGCAATCAGAATGCATTTCTGATCGTTTAGTGATGATATATTCATATACCGATCTGAATATTTTAAAATTTGCTAGAAGTTTTCAATCTGCTGCTCATCAACATACATTCCTTCATCTAGGTCGTCAAACTATGGCGTTAACTCGTAGAGCTTAAAATCTTGGTAACATCACTGATAAAACCAATTATTATTTTTATTTCTTATGCCTTATTTCATGGATCATCTTTAGGTTTAAGAATTTTTGATACCGTACTTCTTTATTATTTGATTTGTATAACTAATGTTAAGTTCCTTACTTCACGCAACGCTTATCCACCTGTAGCCTGCCGCACCGGAAAGGGAGCGGCAGGTCAAGGAGAACGTCGACATGGNCAGCTGGAACGCTGCCCAGCATTCTGTACTGCCACAGTGGCAGCTGGAACGCTGCCCAGCATTCTGTACTGCCACAGTGGCAGCTGGAACGCTGCCCAGCATTCTGTACTGCCACAGTGGCAGCTGGAACGCTGCCCAGCATTCTGTACTGCCACAGTGGCAGCTGGAACGCTGCCCAGCATTCTGTACTGCCACAGTGGGAGCTGGAACGCTGCCCAGCATTCTGTACTGCCACAGTGGCAGCTGGAACGCTGCCCAGCATTCTGAACTGCCACAGTGGCAGCTGGAACGCCTGTCTCTTATACACATCTAGATGTGTATAAGAGCTAGCTATTGCCTCGCCAAACTGGGTCAAAATGACGCGCAGAAAAACAATTTGTGCATCGCAATTTGACACATTCTCGCTCATTGCACTGAGTGTAGGTACTTTCTGTTGTCTCTCCGATGTGGCTGTTGCCGGTCGACTTTTCTGCAACGGAAGAGGAGCGTCTGTTGGGAATGCGGACGCCGCTGCCCCTTATGGTTTGCCCTCAGGAAAATCCTGTCTGTGATATTTTAATATGGCTGTCTTGATGTTTTGTTAAAGTAGAAGAATAAGGATACAGTGCAGATCGAGAGCGATTCTGCCCTTGTGTGCGTGGGTCATCCCGACCCATTTTGGCCCGGACGTATCAGTGCTACGTGCAGAAAGTGTTTCACCATTTAGATGTGTATAAGAGACAGCATTATTATTATTATTATTATTATTATTATTATTGGAGTGTTCTCAGTTCTTTACTGCACGGTTCGTTAAAAACCAGAGAGAAATTAATAACGCTCGTATTTTGCCAATTGAAAAACAATTTTTCAAAATGAATAACGTGCAAACCTTAAACGAAACTGGTATTATAATTAGAATACAAATTGGGCACCAAATTTAGTATATGTGTCAATATATAGTATGGACTGCGTGCCACATACCTGCTTGGAGTTATATTTATAATCATGAAATACACGTTAATTTGAGTATACAGTATGTGTCAAACTGAGCAGCGTAGGTGCTGCACGCAACTACATGTTTTTTTTAAGCTAAATACGCATTGAATTTAATATATGTGACTGTAGGTGGCAAGACATCATATTACGAGGCATTTCATCACTATGGCAATTCATCATTGGGGCATTTAATCATTATTTGCAATTCACCATAAATTTCATCATTGCATATAGTTCATATTTCAAACGTAAGTACATGTTGGTTGAATTTTTTAAATTGGTGAAAGATGAAATGATGAAAAGACTTAATGATGAAATGCGTCAGTGAAGAAATGTATCGACGAAGAATTGCGTCAATGAAGAAATGCGTCAATGAATAAATGCGTAAATGAAGAAATGTGTCAATGAATAAATGCGTCAANGATGAAATGTGTCAATGATGAAATGTGTCAATGAAGAAATGTGTCAATGATGAAATGCATCAATGAAGAAATGTGTCAATGAAGAAATGTGTCAATGAAGAAATGTGTCAATGAATAAATGCGTCAATGAAGAAATGTGTCAATGAAGAAATGTGTCAATGAAGAAATGTGTCAATGATGAAAAGTGTCAATGAAGAAATGTGTCATATGACACATTTGTCATATCATATGATGGAATATGTCATATCGGGAACATCTTACGGAATTTACCTGTACTCGTAGTCATGGAGGGGGAAACTATAAAACATTGCAGGAGAGAGAAATTGGAATTGAGGAATTTAAACATTAGCTTCAGATTGGTACGTGTGAATTTTGTTAAAAAATTTAAACTTTAATTTTCGTTCGAGGATCAAATAAAAAATTAATTATTGAATGCTAAACGTGGATTAGAAAAAGTTTCTCTTTGATTTCCGTACTTTAGTCGGCTAATCCGGCCTGAATCGCGGAATAGATGATCTTCGAAATTAGAAAATAATTTTCCCAATTCATCACTGTACATCAAAATAGTTGAAAAACTTTTAAGCAATGTCTTTGAGACTCTAATTTACAAAAAAATCTTCAGTCTTGTTGCAATAGAATTCCTTCTAAATTCTTACAAATTTAGATGTAAAAATATGGTAAGTTGAAAATCAAACTTCCATTTTCAACAAAATTTCTGTTCTTCGGGTTCACCATAGCCCATAAACTTGCAAGGCATCATGGATACTCGCTCTTAATAATCATGTACACCTACGGTGCCTTGCTTCAAAGACAAAGATGAAAAGACTAATACCCGACATAAGTAATAAATAATCGAGCATCTTTTGGCTGCAGGTAATTTACTAATCATTGTTAATTCTATCAACGAGAGGAAATAAATGACATTTTTCAGATCAGTATATCAACATAGCCTTACATAAATAGTTACAAAAGCGAAGCCTTATTATAAATGATCCTCATAATAATGAAACGTAAAGTAAAAATGGTTATAAACAAAATTGATTGTCCCAATATGGCAGCCCACAGAAGAAATTTGTCAATTAATTATTCGTGAACTTTCAGTGTTTGGAGCTGACACATCTGGCAATAGCACAATCTTCGTGGATTACCTGTCGGAGAAAGAGGTCGCGCTGCAGACATGTTATCCCTTCTTGTTTGGCAGCAATCGTGAGTGAAGTTACTGCAACCATATTGAATCTATTGATATAACTAGACGTTTGTTTACGTTTCCATGAGTGTTTTCTCATGTAAATAATCGTATTTTAACGCAATCAAATAGCGACTGCTGAAATATTTTTAAATGGGAATATTTCAACTAAATCGGCTTGTTTCAATTAATATTACTCAGTACAATTTCACAATACTTAGTACTCTAACTTCCAAAATTTGTGTTAATACTTTTAACAATAATGACATTCAAGTCGCAACAACGACACTCACCAAATTTCAATAGCATTTGCATGAGAAAACTAAAGCAGCAAATAATTCTTGCAGGGTTCTACTACGTGTTCTCATCACTGGACTACTCAGATTTTGGAGACCCAAGCTGCGTTCTCAGGGCCGCTGGAAATTTGGATGCATTCGTATTGACGAGCACGGCTGTCTGCAGTGCCCCACCTGAGCCCCAAGAGCTCCGACAATGTCGCATGATTGCCTCTCAATAAACAATAAGTTTAGCCCCACCGGAACCCTGAACACAGATAATGTCGCTTTATCGCCTCTCAATAAACAATAATTTGAGCCCCCACCGGAACCCTGAACACAGATAATGTCGCTTGGTTGCCCCTCAATAAACATTAAGTTGAGCCCCAAGGGTAACCCTGAACTCCGACAATGTCGCTTGATTGCCTCTCATTAAACAATAAGTTGAGCCCCACCGGAACCCTGAACACAGATAATGTCTGCTTGGTTGCCCCTCAATAAACATTAAGTTGAGCCCCAAGGGTAACCCTGAACTCCGACAATGTAGCTTGGTTGCCCCTCAATAAACAATAAGTTGAGCCCCACCGGCAACCCTGAACCCGACAATGTCGCTTGGTTGCCCCTCAATAAACATTAAGTTGAGCCCCAAGGGTAACCCTGAACTCCGACAATGTCGCTTGGTTGCCCCTCAATAAACAATAAGTTGAGCCCCACCGGCAACCCTGAACCCGACAATGTCGCTTGGTTGCCCCTCAATAAAATGATGAGGTGCCAGTGAGCCCATGACTGCGTATGTGTCCGATGGTGCGTTCGACCGTCCACCTATTCTAGGAAGGTGCGAAGTCACCGGGAAAACTTCAAATTAGAGCGAATCCGGCGCACTTCTAGTTAACTGATCTTGCCGGAACACGTATTCATTGTAAAATTTCATTTATTCAATTACAAGTTGTGCAAGTTTTTTTTAACTCATTTATTTATTAGATTCTTCAAAGGTTGTTCTCAAGGTTTACGTATCAGGATTCATCAATTTGTAATAGTTTCAGTGCGTTTCAAGATCAGGATGTTGAATCCCAACTTCTGTCTTATTTGATGCAGGACTTTTAAAAACTTAGGTCAACTTGTCACGCTAGGAACTCCATGTAATGCTAAAATGATATCAGGTTTCTGACGCACTGCTCATAATAAGGCGCACTGCTCATAATCAGGCGCACTGCTCATAATCAGGCGCACTGCTCATAATAAGGCGNACTCCATGTAACGCTAAAATGACATCAGTTTTCTGACGCGCTGCTTATAATCAGGCAACAAGAAGCGTTGTTCCAAAAATAAGACAATTCTCTGAATGGAAGAGATTCTGCCGCGCCTGACATCCGGCGACGAGGCTTGACGGCCGGACGCTGGCTACCTGCACTTGTGGATCCTTCACACTCACAAAAATTAATATGTCATTGTCCAAATACTAGCAATGACCAATTACTGTGGGTAACAGTGCGCTCTAGCTATTGCCTCGCCAAACTGGGTCAAAATGACGCGCAGAAAAACAATTTGTGCATCGCAATTTGACACATTCTCGCTCATTGCACTGAGTGTAGGTACTTTCTGTTGTCTCTCCGATGTGGCTGTTGCCGGTCGACTTTTCTGCAACGGAAGAGGAGCGTCTGTTGGGAATGCGGACGCCGCTGCCCCTTATGGTTTGCCCTCAGGAAAATCCTGTCTGTGATATTTTAATATGGCTGTCTTGATGTTTTGTTAAAGTAGAAGAATAAGGATACAGTGCAGATCGAGAGCGATTCTGCCCTTGTGTGCGTGGGTCATCCCGACCCATTTTGGCCCGGACGTATCAGTGCTACGCGCAGAAAGTGTTTCACCATTTAAAAAATATGATCATGTACATGAAAATAAATTTATAAAAATATGTTAGTTATTCCTATTGAATTCTCAGATATCGCTGTGCATTCGTCGTTCGCAGAGGACATATAAACCGCGTGTTTCAAGTCATTTGAATATTTTACTTCGGACAAATTTGTACAGAGGAATGAATTCTATAATATCTATAGTAAACTCTGCAGATTGCAATTTCAAAAACTGTTTTGTCACTTTCTAATTGATTCATTTATTGGAAAACTCTACTGATATTCTTGTATATTCGGCAACAGTGAAGAAGGCAAAATACAGTTCAACAGTCGTGTCATGTACGTACAGGGGACAACCAACTGAAAATATTCTCCTATATTATCCTTTAGCTAGAAAACCAACGCTATTCTGATCTAATTTTGTAAAAAAAAATTAATTGCTCGTTATCGTCGAGCTGTTGCCGCCGAAAGCAGATTTTCCGAAAAATCTAAAATGCATACCGCGTCAGCGAAGCCAAAACGGGCACACCTATAAAAACTGGACGCGTAAGTTCATTTCCTGAGACATCGGACAGATTAGGAAACTTACGCGCAAAAAAAAGAAGAATTTGCTAATGTAAGAAGGCCCTAAACAACAAATTTGTTCTCAATCAACCTTTTTTTGCGCTCACATTCATTTACATATTCGCTTAAATTAAATTAATTAGATTCATGCGCACAAAGTTCTAATTTAGTTGCACCTCTAGATAAAGCCAACTTGAAGATATGCAACTTACGTGAAGATATTTACGATGGATAAAGTAAGATGGGTAAATATATGAAGATATTTACGATGGGTACAGTCTACCTGTTGAGAAACAATGCACGCACATAGTTACAATGTTTGTAAGTGATGTTATGTGTACGTGAAGATACGCAATGTACGCGAAAATGCGAAATGTACGCGAAAAAATTTAACGAACGTGGACTGTATACTCGTACACAGGTAAGAATTACAGTCGGGAGATGTACAAGATATCGAAAGTCAGCTACCGCACTTGCATGGTTAAAGGCCCATGCACGACAAGAGCCACGGCATGCACAAGCACAGGCATGAAAAAATTTAAGTTTAACTACAAGCTAGCTGAGACAAAACTTTTTTATTCCCGCCTAAAATTTCCAAACGTTCACTATCTGCATTGGAGTCCATACATACTTTTACTCTCGGTGGTCCAACCTGAGTATGACGAAACTTTGCAAAAAAAGTCTTCTCGTACTTCTCGCTTTTTGCAAAAAGTTTTCTCCATCAAAATTTTAATTTTTTACTTGTTTACCGTTTCAATTCACATTTATCAGTGTATCGGATGACATTTTTCAGCACACATACGCCTTTTTGTGGTGTTGCCAACCGCAGGCAGATCCAATGTCAGGTTGTATCCGTGATTGCCCGAGTCCAGACGCTGGATTGCCAGCGACCATGCAGACGCTGGAATTCCCGCGTCCAGACGCTGGATTGCCCACGTTCAGACGCTGGATTGCCCGCGTCCAGACGCTGGATTGCCCGCGTCCAGACGCTGGATTACCTGCGACCAGACGCTGGACCCTAACACCGACTGGGGGTCGCAGGGCGAGAGTTGCGTCGTCCGACAGATGGTCGCTGGAACCTGAACAACAGCTGGCTACTGCGACGGCCTTCCTCCATACCTGGACTTCTTCTGGACGTCTGGACGTCTCGCTAGAGCCCTGGAAGTTTGATTATTGCCGTGAACGTGTGAATGTAACACCGGAGCTTTGGATGCTTCACCGATGCCACGAATGTCTGGACGTTTCGCTGGAGCACGGCATGCTTAACTAATGCATGTGTCACAAGATGAAATATACAATGTCCCAAGATAGCTAGTACATTAATGCTACAAGCAACACATCATGGTAACTGTCACGAATATTGACATCTGGAAAGCATTTTGACATCGGTTGCCTCCCTAGAGAAATTGCCCCGTGGCCAGAAACTTTTACAGAAAGAACTTTTCGAGGCCGTTGAGAGGCCGTTGAGACAACGATCTAATACAAAGTGGGGATTTTACTCGTGCCATCGGACTAACCACTTTAATTTAATAAAATTAAAAGTCTTATTATTGCTGGAACAATGGAATCACCCAAAAGGTTAGCTGGAGAACCTTGCATTTGGAAAGTCAGTAATGGCAGCTGGAACGCCTGTCCCGCATTTTGTATATTGCCACAGTGGCAGTTGAAAAGCTGTCCCGCATTCTGAACNCATTTTGTATACTGCCACAGTGGCAGTCGAAAAGCTGTCCCGCATTTTGTACTGCCACAGTGGCAGCTGGAACGCCTGCCCAGCATTCTGAACTGCCACAGTGGCAGCTGGAACGCTGTCCAGCATTCTGTACTGCCACGGTGGCAGCTGGAACGCTGTCCAGCATTCTGTATTGCCACAGTGGCAGCTGGAACGCCTACCCAGCATTCTGAACTGCCACAGTGGCAGCTGAAATGCTGCCCAGCATTCTGAACTGCCACAGTGGCAGCTGGAACGCTGCCCAGCATTCTGTACTGCCACAGTGGCAGCTGGAACGCTGCCCAGCATTCTGTACTGCCACAGTGGCAGCTGGAACGCTGCCCAGCATTCTGTACTGCCACAGTGGCAGCTGGAACGCTGCCCAGCATTCTGTACTGCCACAGTGGCAGCTGGAACGCTGCCCAGCATTCTGTACTGCCACAGTGGCAGCTGGAACGCTGCNGTATCAACACCAGTAGAAACTGTAAAGTATCAACACCAGTAGAAACTGTAAAGTATCAACATCAGTAGAAAATGTAAAGTATCAACACCAGTAGAAACTGTAAAGTATCAACATCAGTAGAAACTGTAAAGTATGAACACCAGTAGAACTGCAAAGTATCAACACCAGTAGGAACCGTAGAGCATCAACACCAGTAGAAACTGTTAAGTATCAAAACCAGTAGAAACTGTTAAATATCAACACCAGTAGAAACCGTAGAGTATCAGCACCAGTATAAACTGTAACGTTTCAACGCTTTTATGCTCAGAGGAAACACAACATGTAAAGGCAATAATAAGCTAGCAACTGACAAGTGGTTCAATCAAATTCACTTTCAGATAGGAGAAATAATTAGATCAGTACTCACTGCAGTGAGTGCCGGAGAGCGCATTTTCTCGTCCATCCGTGAAGTCACGGACAGACCGACGGACGGACGGACGGACATGACGAGCACAATAGAGCCTTTTTCGATAAATGAGAAAATGCGCTAAAAAGTGAAACAGAGTTTGCACGTCACTTATTTTTGATGACTTCACGTGACTTCGACTTTAAAACGGATTCTTTAGCAATTGGATTTTTTTAACTATATTACCTCCCTCAATACTAATAGGAAAATAGTATTGCACAATTTTAAAATATTATTTGGAATCAGTGCATGGAATGTCTCTGAAGTTGTCTAAACAACGCAATAAACAACAGAAATTCTGCGCGAACTTTTGCTTGAAATTCAATTGCAGTAAAATCTACGCTATGCCTCGATGCTTTTATATCCAATGGTCGAGGTGACATCAATTAAGGAAGTGAATCTAATTTGTAACTTGATATAACGACTCGATTTGTCGGCAGCCGTCGGATTATTATTATTATAGTATATGATTATTATTATAATATTATTAAAGGTATTATTAAAATGCAAAGTTATTATAAAACGAAGAATAAATAATTAGTGCAGCCAGTAAATACAACGCCCAATTCCCCCCATTTAATTAACATTGTAAAGTAGCGTAATTTTTAGCCTGCCTAAAAGCAGCTCGTTAAAATAGAGCCTGGAGCCACGAGACAGCGCCAAATAGTGTCCCGAAATATATTTAGTGAGGGACTGATGTAACTTGAAACCAAATAACT